AGTCTTTAGTTCTACTTTAAAAGAGGCTATTGCCCAGCAAAGGCAAGCTAGGAATAAAGGAACAGTCACGCAAACCAAGCTTGTATCCAGTCAAGTGAAGTGTACTGTATATTGACTCAAGCTTAAAACAGAAGCGGGGCAAACCCCCATAGTGCACTGCAGGCATCCAAGCCACATCCGGAAATGCATATATTCAATATTTGCATACTGCAGATGTCCTGCTTTAGGGGGGTCACAGAGTGAAATCATACAAATGGTACCCACACTTGCTGGATGTACTGACAGGTTCCATTTAATTCTGTGATACCGCAACCAAAACAAAAAAATCAATAAAATCCTGGAATTCAATAATCACTTAAAGAATCCAGAGTTCACTTCAGACATACAGCTCCAATTAGGTGGCATTTGACAAATACAATCTAAAAGACCTTGTGCTTCGCTCATAGAAGGCAAAGTAACAGGTATAAGTGTCAGCAGCTTTTACTTATCCTTCACTACCCTGCTAAAGCCTGGAAAGATGCCCAGCAAGATACAGGGAACAAGTTACATGCCCCAGAGTGCTTTGTGTGAGTGGCAAATCTTGAGGCCTAGCCACAGTCATTCCCACGTGAGATTGGGGAGGAGCCTGCATAGTTAGGTTTTCCCCAGGAAACAGCCACTATGACAGCCCAGTATTGGTAAACAGATTTCCTTTAGGCTGCAGCTAGCAGATCTTAAACCCACTGCATGTATTAAGCTTGTGTGCAATAGCATGTGGACTGGATCTATCTACAGTCCAAAAAGCCTTAAAGGAGTATGGCCAAAGCTCTTTTGGCCCCAGCTCTCCTATAGGTCACAGGAGTGCACTGCAATCCTGCGACCAGTATTCAGCCGACAGCGGAATAAAGTCTGCTGTCTGCTAACATCACTCATCCGGTTCAGACTCTGGAGAGATCCCAACTTTAATGTCTGGAACCACACAGATGCCTGACCAGCAGCTGGCTCAGCCTCTCAGTACACCACTGACAGCCTGAGCCAGCTGCTCTAATGAGCGCTGGAGGGGCAGATCAGAGAGCCGGTGACTGTCACTGCTCTCTGCTCAGAGTTGACACCAGAACTGAGTGATCATTGGTCATTGATTGCTCAGTTCTTGGTAGAGGAGGACAGATGCAGCATCGGACTGATACTCACCTGGGTGAATGCAGTAAGGTTTTTTTTTTTTTTTAACTCAAAACCCGCACTTTTTAAGAGCCCCTTCCCCCTATACACTGCAATAACGTGCATTAATGCAACACCCCAACAACTGACCTGCATTGCAACGCAACAGATGGCAACACGGTACCATGAATTGTTGTATGTTAGGTTGGAAAAAAGTTTGCTTATTCTGATGCATTGGCAACTGATTTTAATGAATGGGCTGCCTTAGGGCAACTCGTTAATACAACACACAAGAGTAATGACCTAAAGAATGCCTGTCAAGGTAAATGGTAGCATGTGACGTTCATTTCTGTAACAGGCATACACTGCATAGTAAACAACTTTATCAAAATCAATTACAGTCTAAATGAGAACTGTGTGCATAGGAGACCTGAAGAATGAAAATGCTATTCTTGACAATGATTCAAACTTCTGTTACAATTTTCTATATAACTGCTGTGCTTCACTGAGCTAAAAAGTCACCTTGCCAGCAGCTCCATTACACTGAACAGATATTACAATGCTTCACTGTACAAAACCATATTCTGTCATGGAAGATAAAATTGGAACAATCATATCCAAATGGCAGAAATGGCTTTATGTAGCCACTGAGGCAGCACTTTATAAAACAATTTCTGCAGCAGATATGCTACACAACTAAGCAGTTTCATGTACTGAAATTAATTTTATGTCACACCCTTAAATACCTTCCACATACACGGAGTGGATTGTTGCTGGTGGAGAAACATCCCCTTTCAGTCTTCGTTGGTAACCACTGGTGTGAATACAGCCTAAGGATCCAGGCCCATTCACCCAAGGAACTGCATGTGATTCGCACAGGAACCTGGTTCCTATGCGATTCACATGCAGTTCTGTGCAGTGAGATTTGAATCGCACCACACCAAAACTAGTGGTACATTAGTACTATGCAATCTTGGTGCAGGTAAAAGCACTGCGTTTGGGGTGTCATTAACTTTGCATTGACACCCGATGCAGAGCGTGGGGGCTGTACGACTGGAGATGCAGTGCAGGAAATTGACACGAACGTGGGGTTCCTGCATTATGTTCTAGTGTGAAAGGGCCCTTAAGCCTTTACCACGCAGAATGTGCTGCAATTTTGATGCAGTCTACAGAAAAAAAAAATTAAAAAAAAAAAAATAGTGTACTAAACACTGTTTTACTCATTTTCAATCCTATAGTGGACTTATCAAAACTTCACTTGTCTTCGCCACAATTTCAGGGAGCAAAACAAACCTGTGATCTCCCAGTTAGTTCATACAATTAGGCCTCATGCACAATGGATGTTACAAAAAAGCCAGCAGCGGTAGCTGTAGAGACCTATGTTAAAAACGAGTTTTCACTAAGCCGCTCCAATCGCTTCCTGCAATATGTAACACTCAATATATATGCAGATGTTTCCTATTATAAATGAATGGAAAAAAAAAAAAAAAAAAAAAAAAAAAAAAAAAAAAAAAAAACAAAAAAAAACGTTGATCCTGAACCTGTATACACCACCGAACATCCATCATCTCCCTGTTAAGAGATTTCCATGTATATGGGCTAATCAGTAGATTCTTTATTTAGGGATCAACTTAACTCCCTCAACCTCCCGATTTCTCCTTAACCTGCCAGGAGAATTTAAATCTCTCCGAAACTTCGGCCTATCCAAAATGGGCCGGATTGCAGCCCTAAAAAGGTTTATTCTACCCAAATTACTCTCTATATTTCGGACCATTCCTATTCCAATACCCACCTCATTCTTGCAGTGTACAGAAACTTTTTTCCCATTTTATTTGGGAATCCAAACTATCCAGATGCGCAACTAACTTATTAATTTGCCCACGCAATAGAGGCGGGGCGGGCCTTCCACACCTACACTCATACTACTTAGCTGCACTCCTAGACTAAATTTACTTCTGCTGGCACCCTAAGCGGGAAAAAAAAAATTTGTTCTACTATGGAATTCCTAATATTCCACCCAACCATGCCTCAGAATCTCCTTATTCTTAGATCCATTGATTGCGCACAACCTTCACTTACCCACCCCTGCATCACAGCTTCCCTTGAGGCCTGGACTAGTGTACTGTCCTATCCTCTCTCAGAATCCAGATCATTCCTAACCCCCTTACAGGTCTTACACTCATGAATACCTTATATCAACATAAACTTCTGGGAAAAATGTGGCGTCCATTTAATATTGAACTTTTACTCGACTAATAAAATAATCCCTTTCCGCGATCTCCAACACATTCTCCCTTCCTACCTCTGAATACTTTTCTTACCTAAGGATCGTCCACTGCCTCCAAAACTACAAAGATACCATCTAATATCACCTTCCCAACCCCTATACTTCAATATCTCAATCACCCTAATTATCCGGGTAGAGGTATATTCACATTTTATTCCCATATCACTTAGTTCAAATTTAACCTAAAACAGCATCTCTACGAAACTGGGAACTACAACTTTCCCAAACCTTCTCAGATCAAACATGGCAGAAAGCCTTTACCCTCACATATAAAGCCTCGCATTGTACTACACTTTGGGAATCATATGTGAAACTTCTGCATCAATGGTACTTGACACCCGTTAGACTAGCAAAAATATATCCTCTTTGCTCACCCTTCTATTGGCAGCAATGTGGAAAAACAGGCTCCCTACTGTACATATTGTGGTCATGTAAATCATTAAGATCATTCTGGAATGCGGTTTTTTTAATATAATTTCCGAAATAACTGGCAAGGTAATACGTCCTAACCCTATCATAGCACTCTTTCATATTGGCCTAGAAAACTTCTCTCCTACCTCGCGTAATATAGTAATCCACCTGTTATATTCAGCCAAAAATAATATTACTAAACTATGGAAATCCACAACCTCACCATCTCTAACTATGATGATTAAGGACCTAAAATTTCCAATGTGAAATGGAAAGGAGATTCGCCTTGAATAACCTTTCCTACACCAAATGCTCCCGTTCATGATCTCGTAATCCAAAATGCACAGTTAAAATATGATAGCCCACCCAATATGGAGTATTCGTTTTGTCATTGACTGGTATACTGTTCACCCTCTTGTTCCCCCCCCCCCCCTTCCTGTTCTCTCAGGTTCTTCTCTATGTAGTATTTTAAAAACAAATACTGTGTACTATGAGAATTGATATGTTCTGTTATCCTGTTGACATTGCATTTCATTGGAACCTGCACAAATGAGAACTTGACTGTCCTTTTCCATTTGTTGTTCCCCCATCTGTAACTAATCCTGTTAAAAAACTTAAAGAACACTTGAAAATAAAAACAAGAGTTTTGCAGTAGCATTTTTAGCAAAGCTATACTCCCACAAAAGCTTGAGGCTCAAATACTGGATAGCTGCGTTTTTCAGAGTTAAAGTTTTTACAGCTGAAAAACTCCTCTTCAAAAACGCAGTAGTTCTGTTTTTTTCCCATCCTGAAAACGACCCTGCCAAGAAACACTGATAAAAGCCTATGTTTGCATGGACACATAGGATAACATGCTGGGGAGTTTACTGGCTGTAGCCCAAAACAGCAGCTGTAAAGATGCCCAGTGTGCTTGAGTTCCAAAATGACAAGTTGCACCCCATTGCCAGCAATGGAACTGTTCATATTGCTGTGACTCTTGCAGCGTTTATGAAAAAGGTTCCAGCACTACTTTTTGCCAATTTCATGTCTATGCGACTTGCATAGACTTCTGTTATAGGAAGTCGCAATGAAATCAGAAGTGCGACTTTGAAATCATGATTTAAAGGGCGCATTAGTGTGAACCAGGGCTCATGTTCTACAATGTTAGAGTGTCACGTTTCCACACTTACCTGAACCTGCGGTACACAACTTTCAGATGTCTCATGCGGCCGGTGCCGGTGGTGTTGCGTCTCTTGGCCTTAGCACTCCAGTTGTCTAAAGAACAGCCAATGAGAAAGCTCATGATTTGAGTAAAACCAAAGTCTCTCATAACTATTAGGCAAGACATTCAAACTGTATAAACAAGGATGCTGCAATGTCTATTAAAAGGTGGGTAATAGGTCAAAAGCCACCCAACAGAATGTACTGAAAGTCAATTAACATTTTATTTTGCTGTAACTTATTACCAAAAAAATTAAATGTATGAAATTTCTAACTAAAAATGATCATGCAGTATGGCACAGATAGGAATATACATGGTACTTACACTTTCTCTTGCGCTTAGCTGGGTATCCACACTTGCCACAGGTGGACTTCTGTAAATGGTAGGCTTTAGACCCACAACGACGACACAGAGTGTGCGTCTTATTGCGGCGCTTTCCGAATGACGATGTTCCCTTCGTCTAAAAAAAGAAAAAAGGAACTTAGAAATAGAAGAATATTCCCAAGCACCCTCTTCATTGTGCGTGTTGCATTTATCTCAGCAAGAAAACGAAATCACAAAGTGTCATATGTTCAGACATTTATTTTAACACATCATTGATAAATGCAAGATGACAAACTTCACTCAGAACTGGTAGTGGAGAATGGAAATGTGCTGTACATACAAAACATGATCTGATGACATCAGTTTGGAACACTTCAATTTACTGGAGGAACTGTGGCTATAGAGAAGGGCAGCGAATGACAAAGGCCCAGCAGGGGCAGGGTACCGCATATTGAACAGGCAGACCATGTATGGAAATGCCGAAATGCAGTGCGACTTAACCACAGATCCCACGGATTGCTAAACCCGCACATACAATCTTCTGACACTTACCTTCTGTCCTTAGGTTGTAAGATGACAAGTAGAACTATGGGAAACACTTTCATTTTCTCCATTTTGAGTAGAAGTGAGGGTTCTAACCCGCCAGATCTGTTTTTTGCGATCTGTGTCCCATAGCCAAACAGAAAGTGCGAGGAATCCCGGCAAATTAAGGGAATTCCTTGGGAACCCAAACTTTCCCCTCCATTACTGTTCTGAGGACAACCCAAATGGGATTTTCTTTTACTTTCGATAATAAGTGTAAAGGGGACAAAGAGGGTGAATCTCCCTAACCGGTCTTTAGTTATATTTAAGTATTTGAAAGACTAAAGTGACATTAAAGTGGACCTTCATTCAAACATTTTTCACTGTTTTCTCCCTGTTAAGCTGATCTTTTTGTAAATTTGCATGGAGTCTGCAGCCACTTCCATCTGGGAACAAGGTCTGCAGGGGTTCTTCCACCCAGGCACAAGGTCTGCAGCCACTACTAGCTGAGGGCAAGGTCTGCATGGTGTCTGCAGGGCTCCTTCCACCCAGGGGCAAGGTCTGCAGCCACTACTATCTGCATGGAGTCTGCAGGGCTCTTTCCACTCAGGGGCAAGTTCTGCATGGAGTCTGGGGAGCTCCTTCCACTTAGAGACAGTCTGCAGCCACTTCCATCTGAGGGCAAGGTCTGTGGAGCTTCTTCCAGCCAGGGGTAAGGTCTGCATGGAGTCTGCGGGGCTCCTTCCACTTAAGAGACAGTCTGCAGCCACTACTATCTGATGGCAATGTCTGCATGGAGTCTGCAGGGCTCCTTCCGATTAAAGACATAGTCTGTGTGGAGTCTGCAGCCACTACTATCTGATGGCAATGTCTGCAGGGCTCCTTCCGATTAGAGACAGTCTGCAGCCACTACTATCTGATGGCAATGTCTGCATGGAGTCTGCTGGGCTCATGCCGATTAGAGACATAGTCTGCAGCCACTACTATCTGAGGGCAATGTCTGCATGGAGTTTGTGGGGCTCCTTACACCGAGGGGAAGGTCTGCAGCTCCTTCCACTTAGTCTGCATGGAGTGTGCATGTTCCTCAGATTTAGCAGTTACAATGCTAGATGATGCAGAAGGGATGGGATCTCCGGGTATCTGACATTGGAGAGTCAGGGATGGATGTGTGTACAGAGTGCGGTGTGGGGAGGTTCCTCATACAATAGGCTGTCTGGCTTTGAGAACTACAATGCCCAGCATTCCTCGATCGGCTCCTCACCGACACAGCGCAGCGTAGGCCTCCCTCCACACACCGCTCTCTATGGGCTCAGCGCCGGCATCTCCCCTCCCGGGCCTCCCCCCTCACGCCGCTCTCTATGGGCTCAGCACCGGCATCTCCTCTCGCAGGCCTCCCTCCTCACGCCGCTCTCTATGGGCTCAGCACCGGCATCTCCATGCTAATCAGCTCTATAATCTTCCCTCCACCGCCTTACCCCCCATCAATACCGGGCTCCATGTCACCGGCAGGTCCCCTCTACCCCCTGTCCTGCTGTGCTAACCCGCTGGCGGGAGGATGGAGAAGGATTCACACCGATTATACTCGACGACAAACCATGACACTCACCATCTTCCCCAGCGGCCGATACGATAGAGACCGGAACTAGGTAATCACTTCCGCTATATCATGAGCAGAGCTTCCGGGTCCGCGGCGCCGTCATGGTCCTCTGCGCCATTTTAATTGTGGGCAAGTGCTGCTCTGCTGCCAACACATGCTCTTTGGAGAAGCTGTATTATGGTCAGTTTCCCAAAAGATCACAATTGTTACCTTAGTAAGAAACAGTAGTGTGGAGCGGGACTGGGAGGCGCTGCCTATATGTGTATATATATATATATATACATATATATATATATATATATATATATATATTTTACAATCAACCATAAATTAGGAAGAGTACACATAATACACTTTTCTTGTTCAACTTCATTTAGATTCACCTTCAGCTATGTAGTGAAAGGGTCTATCTGATGGCATATAATTTGAAAGTGTTTAGGTTTGATCTCATAGTTTTGGTAAAAACCACTTGCCCTCCTGAGGATTCCCGCCCCCCCTTGACCAGGCCATTTTTTGCATTATGACGCTGCGTTACTTAAACTGACAATTGTGCGGTCATGCAACGCTGCACCTAAATGAAATTTATGTCTTTTTTTCCCTACAAATTGAGCTTTTTGGTGTATTTGCTTACCTTTGCATTTTTTGCACTATAAACTAAAAAAGACCAACAATTTAGAAAATAAACCAATATTTTAGACTTTTTGCTATAAAACATGTCCACTAAAAAGATTGAAAATATCAACTTCCGTCAAAAATTTAGGCCAAAATGTATTCTGCTCCATGTCTTTGTTAAAAAAAAAAAAAAATCCCAATACGTGTAAATTAATTGCTTTACGTGAAAACTATAGTGTCTACAAATGGTGTTATAGATACTGGGATTTTTATTTCTTTTTATACTTTTTATATATTTCTTTTTAATGGTGACAATCAGTGACTTATAGCAGGACTCTGGCGGGCATTCTGGCACTGGGGCGATCAAAGGGTTAAAACAGAGTTCTACTCACTCTGTCAAAAAATAAAAGTCAGCAGCTACAAAAACTTTAGCTGCTGCCTTTAAAAAACAGCCACTCATCTGTCCCACGATCCTGCGGTGTCCCCGCCGCAGTCTGTTTCACCGACCGTCCTGTATTCCAGGTGCCGGCATCTTCAGTGTGGGCACCTGGCTGTGACATATTGCTGCCTCACAGCCGGGTGCCCACTGCCCATGCGCATATAGCGCTGAGCTTCCTGAATGGCCCCGTTGTCTTCTGGGACCTGTCACGTGTCCCACAAGACTATGGGGAAGGAGGGTAGGAGGACAACTTCTGCTTCCGATCACCCCTAGGCAATCGCAGCAGAAGTGGGAGCAGGTACCTGTCAATTTTGGGTACCCGCTCCCTAAAGGTGCTAATCCTTAATGGGGAGCGGGGGGGGACCAGTCTGGGTGGAACTCCGCTTTAACTGTGTGCTATGTGTGTTTTACATTATGTGCTGTGTGTGTTTTACTGGAGAGAAATGCTGTGTACAGAAATAAAAAGAAGCATATCTATGCTGACAGAGGAGAGACCTGTGTTGTTTAGACACAGTTCTCTCCCCTGTTAGCTTTCCTCAACGATCGCTAGGTGCCGGAGGGAAATCACCTGCTTGGACCTGGTGATTGACATCCCTAGCAGCCAATGGCTGCGCAGGTAGGGTGGTGTGCGCTCACATCTGCCACCTACCCAGAAATGCAAATCACGTATATATATGTGATTTTTCACAGCCCTGCCGCCCTCTAGCAGTATTTCTGCTGTAGGATGGCAGGTAAGTGGAAATTGTATAATGTGTAGCCAGCTTTAGAGGTGGTGTAGTAGGCATATAATGTAGAGGCAAAACCATATGGAGCACGCTCTTCAAACCCCTATCAATAAATAAATACCACAATGAAAATATATCCGAGTGCCCTACGTCTAAATAAACTATGTGCAAAATTAATTTGAATCACAAACAATTACACACATATACGTACAATTGTGAAAAAATGTTGTGACACAAATAAAGTGCCTGGTTCCACCATAAACTATGTGTGAAACTCTAAAGAAATTATTGAAAAATATTTAAACATAACTTATAAAGAAACAAATGTCCATGATCAGTGTTTGAAACAAAGTGCTCCGGGCTCAATGTTCATGTCAAGACTGTGCAGGACAAAGAAAACACCCAGGAAATAAGTGCTCCTCCTCTCCTCCCAAACGAGGCCACACCACACTCACCAGAGGCTCTTTCCTCACCGAAGGTCAGTAGCGCATGTGGTATCCCAACTGGGTTTATTCTCTCCAGTAGATACACCAAAAACTTGAGGAGTTCGATAACTTCATTTCCCAGCACCACTCCTGTGCCTTTAAGAGACTCTGCATAAAACTCCCTCACAGAGGGAAACAGATAGAGGAACTTCTTGTAGTGTAAATTCCATTTATTAACAAAACGCTTTAAAATTGCTCCTACATGAGTTCATATCATTCAGGCATGTACAATCTCCATGATGGAAACCAGTGTAGCTGGCCAGCTAAGACCAGTCCTAGGTTGCTAATATGGTTCATATATGTGTATACCAAACCTGCCAATAACCTCAGTACAGTATATATGTGCACATGTTAAAGCCAAAAGCAAAATCATTGCTGTAATTTATGTCTTTGATTGTTATATGACATTTATATATTCATTGTGTTAGCAGAAGCAGAAAAGGAAAATATGCCTTTAAGAGTTAGTATAAGGTGAGCCAATCACAGACAGCCTCACACTGTACAGAGCCTTAACCAATCCCAGCCAGTTTCACATTTATGCCTGTGTAAAACTCCCTGCTAGAATATTTTAGAGACACATGCTCACCAGACAGAAGAGGAAACAGACAGTTCCAATCAGAAAAGCTTTATGGAAGCAGAGCAGGCCAAATAGGTATTTAATGCACTTGTGTGTTCCTCTATTGTTTAACAGTGCAGGTAGATCTGTGTCTAAAAATGTTGTATGTGTTTACTTTAGTTCCACCGAACTTACGAACT